ATTCATCCCGAGGCGAAGAAGATGTATAGGGATCTTCGTCTTGACTATTGGTGGCCCTGCATGAAGTGGGACGTAGCATGGTATGTGGAGTGGTGCTTGACCTGTAGGAAGGTCAAGGCTGAGCACCAGAGGCCACAGGTAAGATGCAGCCATTGGATATTCCCATGTGGAAATGGGAAGATATTACCATGGATTTCATCACCAAACTTCCCAAGACTGCGCGGGGAGTGGATTCTATATGGGTCATTGTGGATCAGTTGGCCAAGAGCACCCATTTTATACCGATCTAGGTGAGTATATCGGCTGAGAAGTTGGCCACCATTTACATTCGGGAGGTGTTGGCTCGGCATGGAGTGCCAGTCTCCATAAATTATGACAGGGATGTGCGGTTTACTTCCAGGTTCTAGAAGAAGTTTCACGATGAGTTGGGTACTTGTATGCACTTTAGCACCACATTTCACTCGCAGACGGATGGTCAGAGTGAGTGGACCATCCAGACTTTGGAAGATATGTTGCGGGCATGTGTGCTATATTTCAGTGGTAGTTGGGATAATTACCTCCCATTGGCTGAATTCTCCTACAACAACAGCTACGATGGGAGTATCAATCATCCTCCCTTTGAGATGTTATACGGGAGGAAGTGCAGGACCCCGATATGTTGGGGTGAGGTTGGCCAGAGGGTCATGGGGAGCACCGAAGTGGTGCTCAAGACGACATAGATGATTTAGCATGTCAGGAGAAGGCTTCAGATTGCTCAGAGTCGGCAGAAAAAGTTATGCCGACAAGCGTCGCTCGGACCTGGAGTTCCAGGTTTGGGATATGGTCCTCCTGAAGGTGTCGCCATGGAAGGGCGTCATCCGATTCAGGAAGCAGGGCAAGCTGGGCCCCAGATATATTGGACCCTTTAGGGTTATAGCCCGGGTGGGCAAGGTGGTGTATAGGCTTAATCTGCCAGCGGAAATCAGTAAGATCCATAGCACTTTCCATGTATCCCAACTGCGGAAGTGATTGGTAGAGGACTCGACAGTGGTACCTCTGGAGGATATTCAGGTAGATGACAACGTGAATTAAATTGAGCGGCCCGTGGCAATCCTCGACCGGAAGTCGATGGATCTAAGGAACAAGAGGGCCGACCTGGTGAAGGTGCAATGGCAGCACCAAATGGGCTCGGAATGGACGTGGGAGCCAGAGGACAAGATGATGGAGCATTACTTAGAGCTTTTTTAGGGTCGAGCAGCAGACTTCGAGGATGAAGTCTAAAATAAGTGGGGGAGATTTGTAGCACCCAATTCTTGGTACGCCCTTAATTCAAAGTATTTTTATGTTTTTCTTTGGGACTCGATGAGTTGGAGGCCCAACTCGTCGAGTAGAATTGAGACCTGCGGAAAATTTAAGTGACCTACTCGACGAGTCGGTAGACTGACTCGACGAGTAGGTGTTGTTTGAGTGAAACGCTAATCTAAGGGATTGCACCATATTTAATCACCTCATTCAGCCTCCCTTCGTCCTTATTGCTCTTTGAACCCTCCATATCAAAGCCTAATCGTTTGTGTAAAGATCTAAGGCCTTTGTGGTGGTTTTTGGGGATTTTGGAACATAAGAAGGAAGAGAAAGTCTTGAGGAATCAAGAGGAGGCCAGAGGAGTTTGAGTTTGTGCACCCACTGCAATTCTTTAGAGGTATAAAGCTGATACCTTGCTCTTTCATGTTTTAGATCCGTTTTTGGGGTGATCTAGGGCTTTTAGGAGCCATTCTTGGTGACCAATCATGAGTGCAAGCATGGTTGGGAGCTAAGACTTTAGATCCAAGGTCTTTAAGGGGTCACAAGGTAGAAAGGGACTGATTTTGGAGCCTTAGAGAGCCCCATGCATCTTAAGAGTCTCATTTAGGGCCATTTGATCTCATAGTCCCATGCATGCACGTAAAGTTTGTAACTTTACGTGGTAGATCTATCATAGAAGTCTAGATCTATCTTTTGGTCATGTTTTGTACATCAGAAATCAAGAAATGCGACTTGGTAATTCTAGAATCGGCGAGTCGTTCTTGGGACTCGACGAGTCTATGGCTTGACTTCCCTTTTGTGTTATTGTTTGAAGGAACCCAGTGAGTGTTAGAGTGGTCTTAGAAGGGTCCAGGGAAGTGACCCAATGCATTGGACTTAGCCATAGACTTGGAAATCATAGGACTCGACGAGTGTATGAGCAGACTCGTTGAGTCCAAGGCAATCTCCCAACTTTCAAATATGAACTCGACGAGTTGTTCATACAACTCAGCGAGTCAAGGGCAGGACTGGTTCATAAGAGGGAGATAAACTCGATGAGTTGTTCATACAACTCGGCGAGTCGGATGAAGGTTCATTCGGGGTTGTTTAGAAGGAGAACTCGTCAAGGCGTTGCCAAACTCGACGAGCAGAGGCGTGAAGAAGGTCAGATGAAAGGATAGGGACTCGATGAGTTGGCGGCCCAACTCGGCGAGTCGGGTCAACTGGAAGTTGACTTTGACTTTGACTTGGTCGGGAGTAAAATAGTCATTTTACCCTAAGAGTAGTTATCAGTGTCTGATTAGGTGTTTTGTGGATTTATAGCCGGAGGATTACCGGTGTAGTAGTCAGACATCTGCCGATTAGCTTTTCAACAGTCAACTTTACGAGGTGAGTCACCTTACAGTAGGAGTGGGTCTAAGGCACCAATGTCGACCCACCAGTAGGAGTCATATGTTTGATGATTGTCTTTGTGATATTCATATAGGTTTGCTACTTCCTGGTATGTTATGTGCTAGTATGATATAATGTTATTTGTCAGTAGCAGTAGGGGAGATAGTCCCTAAGATTTCGTTCGATGGGGCCAAGGGGGGTAGTCATACCCAGTCATGATAGATAGATTATGATTATGTGTTACATGTTATGTGGTAGTAGTAGAGGGGTGAAATAGTCCCCAGTATCCAGTCAAGAGGACTGAAGGGGAGGCCAACACCCAGGTATGCTAGGCAATATCCGGTCGAGAGGACCGAAGGGGAGGCCAACATCTAGGTATGCTAGGCAGTATCCTGTCGAGAGGACCGAAGGGGTAGGTCTGGCACCCACATATGCCTGACAGAATATGTATATGATAGTTAGTTTTGTTTACTTCTTTTTATAGTTTATTTTAGCATATTTCATTCATAATTTAGATACTTTCCATGCATATTTTCTTTTTTCTTATTTTATGACTATTTCGGTTACTTTCGAATCTTGTGAGCATAATTGCAGGTTTTCGGGTCTAGTGTAGTGGGAGTGTTCGGGACGTATTGGAAGCGATGGGATTTGGTAGACAAAAAAGGATTTTGGGCTTGATGGGTAATGGAGATGATGCATGGAGTGATCTTGATGATTATTTGAAGGCTTGGAGAGAAATAAACTTTAAATTTGCAAGATGCGGGGGAGTATTCAAGCGTGCGTAGATTATTAATCGGGAGAGTTTACGAGCTATGAATCATTTGGAGAAGCCAAATTGGGCTTAAATTGAAGAAAAATGGGCTAGGAGCTGATTGGACTTGAACTGGGCTAAGTGGGCTAAGCTATGGAGGCCCAAAACCTCAAACATGCTACATCTAGGGACCACCCGCGCAACATCACGCGGGTCGCACAACCTCCTGCAGGGGCAATTCTAGAAATTCTTCTTTTGAGCTATTTGAGGAAGGTTGGTTCCCATCTTTTGCACACTCTTGGACATCCGATTTTTGAAGATTCTCTCTGGAGTTTTGAAGGCTTTTGAAGGCCAAGAACACCTCAAGAACATCATCTTTTTACCTCTTGATTCTTGCGTAATGTTTGGTACAATCTTCTTTAAATTTTGTTTCTTTAATTTTAGCCATGCTTGGCTAAACTAATCTTGGTTGACTTTTGTTGAATCCTTTGAGCTTTTGTTGAATGTTGAAGAATCCATGAACTTGTTGTTAAATCTTTATGGGAATGTTTTGTGTTTTAACATCTTATCAATACTTGTATGTTTTTAGTTCATGAGTTTAAATGTGTTTGTGGTGATTAGTTGGCTAATTTCTTGATTAAGTAAAGGATCCTCAAATTAGCAAGCAACAAATGATTTTTGTGTTGTTTTTGCTTCACACAATCATAAAAACATTTCTTCCAAAATGTGGTGAAATCATTTGACCCCTCTTGGATTTGGTGACTTTTTGGTTCTTAATGCTAGTTGACTTTCACTAATTACATGCTTAATGGAAATTGTGACTTTGACTAAGGAAATTGTTATGAGCTTCTCTAACCATTTTAACAACTAAGAAAAGTTTAGGTAATCTTAAGATTCTTGGATTACTATAGCCAAATTGAGGATTTAAGTCAAGTATTGCACCATTGGATTCTAATGATATGTTCATCAAAAGTCAAAGTGAGGAAACCTTAAGTCAACCATCCTTCTCTAATTGATTTTACATCAAAATCTTATTTTTGTTGCAATTGTCTATTTAAATCATAGTTAATTCTAGTTTGTTTCAAGTATTTCAAAACATCAAAACCCCCATTTTTAATTTATTGTCATATTCCAAGTATTTTTACAAAGAGATTTTTCATAGAGTTATCAAATTGAACCAATCTCCGTGGATTCGATCCCTTTACCGCTATACACTATTTTAGTGTGTGATATTTAGGGTTATTATTTGTGTTGGACTCGACAACCACCAGTATATTATGTGATTGTATGGTATGTGGTATGATGGGGGAACTTACTAAGCTTCGTGCTTACAATTTTCAGTTTTGTTTCAGGTACCTCTTCAGTGAAGGGGAAGGAGCCGGCGCGGTAGCTGCACATCATACACACATAAGGTTCCGCCTTATGAGATTTCTTGGGATTGTACTTTGACATTATTACTACTTTTATGATATGATTTTCAGACATGAGATTATGGATTTATGAAATGATATGATACAAGTGATGTTTTATGATTAATGTTTTCTAAATCGTTATATTAAAATTGAAAATTTTGGACTCGGAATTTGGGATGTGACATATGGCTTCCTCAAGGTTGTGACCTAGTTGACCTTGAGACTGTGTCCAACTCCGTCATCTTGGAGATGTTTTACCAAATGGGATACAAGAAAGTTCTGACCGCCGTCTCAACATTCAAAAGCCAAACCTACCGCTAATGTGGAACGGATTGTTTACTCTTCTCTTCAAAAGCTTCTCTGAGAGGGTAACTGGCTCCGATTGTGCAAGCAAGCTCTTCATGAAGATGATGTACTGTATCTTTTCAGGAATCAATCTTGACTATAGCTCAATGCTTTGAGCTCAACTAGTCCAGAGTACTCTTTCGACTACACGACGCAAGGGCAGGTGCTTCAGGTTTCACACTTGGTCATTCTACACCACCCATCTCACCTCTACGCCAACACGATCCAAACACTATTTATGGTGATGATGAAGAAGATTTTGGGGGATTCACTTACAGTCTATTCAACATCCGGACAGAAAGTCATGATGAAGCTCTGGTCACCACGGGGAAATTAAAGGCATTATCTAAAAAGTTGGATTCCTTGATTGAATCCACTAAAACTTCCTCCCGTGGTGATTACTCTCAAGAAACTATTAAGGCCTTCATTGAAACAATGACGAAGGAACATTCTGCGAACCTTGACAAGTCAAATCAAGCTGTTGAGGCTTCAACTTCGGTATGCAAGGAAACGATCGAAAAAGTCGATAAACTAATTATTTATGCTCGATCATTTATGAGCATTTTTTAGAACTCTTTCGAGTCAAATACTATGAAGGCAGATGAAGTTATTTCCAGTCTTAGATCAACCCTTCGTAATAAGAAGGATGGACTAGAAAATATTTGCACTAGCATCCAATCTGACAACTCAGAGCTCAGCTCCTTTATCTCTTCCAAGATAGACAAGCTTCATGAATACTTTTTTATTGAGAACGTAATCATGGATAAGCTCACAATCAATATAGAAAAAGTGAAGGTTTTGACTGTCATGCTGGAACAAGCCAAGAAATAGATTAACACACTCTTATCTGAAAACGCAGTGATGAAGAGTTGTGTGGCAGATGTGAACGCCTTACTCTACAACACTATTGAGACTTGTGACTCTTTAATCACGATCACCATGAAGAAGCATCTGGCTGAAAAACCTCGCCCTGTGTTTGCGATGCTCAAAAGGATTGAAGGTGTTTCAGAGTCAAGCTCACTTCCGAAACAAGGGGGAGATCCTGTGAAGCAATTTAAGAAAGAAAACACAAAACAAGCCCATACAACTGTAAAGCCACTTGTGAAGCCAAAGTCAGAAAATGAAATGAAGAATAATGAATCTTCGGGTTCGAAAGGAAAAGAAACGATCAATGATGAAAGGATCATTAATGACAGTGAAGAATAAGAACCTGATGAGCATGAGCTAAAAAGAAGGAACGCTCATGAAGCTCAAATTGATGAACATAATCGAATTGTGAGAGAAGCTGAAGAGAAAGAGAAAGTTGAACGGGATGCTCAAGTCACATTGGAAAGCCGAAAGCTTTTATTTCCATTGTGGACTTTGGAGCGAATTATGAGTGAGGCTATAGACATTCCAAGCCAATATTGGTTAGAGCCCGTTGCATATTTCGATTTGAAAAACACAATTGGATCTTTTAATAACAATGAAAGCCTTCAAGTTTCGTAGCTTCTTTAAAGTTGCAAACGTTCCTCTGACAGATAGTGGTGTTGACTATTGTCACACCCCCAAACCAAGGATGGTGGAAACGTCCGGGGGTGGAGGACTTCATGTATAGTATCATAACCACAATTTCAATAGTAATTTAAGCAAACACAACCAACATATATGTAATTGAAAAACTTACATCACTTGTATGAGTTACATGTTTCAAAATCAATTATAATATGTTGAAAAAATATGAAAAGTTTGACGCCGTAACGTCCCATCCTCAAAAGCACTTGATTACCTGTTTAGTGATTTCCTAAGAATACAAGTTGTTTGAAAAGTGTCAACACAAAGCTTGGTGAGTTCATAAGTTTTTGCTATAAAACTTAATAGAAGTCTTTCTCATGTAAATGTCATGTTTGTTTCAGAAAAATCCGATATTTTCCTTGAAATCCGTATAATGTAGCCTTATAACCAAACACCAAAATGTATAAGAAATCATTCTTACTTAGTAGAAATGTCATGAGTTTGAATTGATATAAAAAGTGAATTTAAATCAACCTAAAACCTACTTAGGTTTTATGAAATCCCGTAAACTTTATGAATTGTTATCTCCCTATGTGAGTCGCTATAATCATACTATGACTATGTGAACCTGCCACGACGTTTCTCAGGTGTCGCGAAAATGAAATGACATTTGTCACCCGTAGACCTGCAGGTCCCACTGTAGCTAGCAGCAAGGTGTGGGGTGTCAAACCCAATATAGATCTATATACAAGTATCACGTTCTCCCTCCAGGAGACTGATTATAACTACCAGGAATTATATTCCACACTCAGACGTACGGAAAGAGAGATTGTCTCACAATTTAGGGTAACAAGTTTACGTATAAGGTGTGTGAGTCTAAATCTCTTCTGTATGAATGTACCCTTTTAGTACGAGTGTGTTATTCAATATATCATAAACTATACCTATTATGGTTTATCTAAAACGTTTGTAATATGTAAGAACTCTTTTATGGAAATGTATTAGTGTTATGAATTCATTAAACTATACTTTTTATAGTTTAATATACGTGTTCTAAAATGAATGAATAATATTTATTATGAATGACTTAGTTTCAGTTCATGATGATAAACTAACAAGGAAACACATTCAATAATTAGAACTTATGATTATACACTTTGCTCAACATAATACAAAGTGTTATGATATTTACATGCTGTTGGCTAACTTTAGCCATTCTACACTATTTTGGAAAACTCATAGAAAAATCATACGAAATCGAAAACTAGATCCGTAAACTCTGAGTGTTCAAAAAATGTGTCTAGTTTACTCAAAATTTTTATCACGATTTTTAATGACCTCCAACTTGGGTGAAAAAGTCCATAATCACATACTGGTCCGGATTGTTGTTCGAAATGATAGGCAGTTTTTGTAAAAATCACCATAAATTGTAGAAAAATCGTATGGAGATGTGAAAGTAGTCATTTTAAAGCTAAGAACTTGAACTATTTGCACCGTGTACAGTTCTGAAAACAAAAATGTTTTAGATGCCCAAAACAGTCAGTGAATGGAGTTGAACTTTTCTGATGAAGGCTGTTAGAAAAATTTAGTTATGTTCTTGGTGTTTTAACTTGTATTCCCCCCTTAAAAACTTGAGAAAACATGAAAATGTAGGGATATGAACTCACCTTAAGTGATTTCAGTAGATGATTGTTGAAGAATGGAAGTGTTTAACTCAAGAACACTTGGAGATGCCTTGAAGATTTTCGAGAATCTAACATCATAGTTATGGAGTTTGTGTAAGCAATCAATGATTTGAGTAGAATGAAGTGAAATAATCATAAGGAGGATGAATTATACTTACTAAGAGTGGAAGAACACTTGAAAATCAGCCTTGAATCTTGAATTTGGTGGAGAAAAAGTTTGAGAGAAAAGTGGTGTTTGATACTTAGTGAAAGGAGAGCAAATGAGAGAAATGAGGAGAGAGGATGTTTGTTCCAGCTCTAAAAACGTGGGAATGAGTGTAAATTGAGTGTGAGGGACATTGAAGTGACCTAGGTAAAGTGGGGAGGTGTGGCTGGTCATAGAGTGGGTGTGGGAGTGGTTGCTTGTGTAATAAGGTAAAGCAAAGTCAACACTCCACCTCTTTGTACTTTACCCACTAACTTTTATTATTTAAATAAAGATTTTCATGAAAATATGATTAAATTGTGAATATTTAGGGTTCATTATGTTAAAATATAATTTTGGGTGAATATCCCGCGTTAAAATAATTAAAAACGGGCCTTAAACGCAAAACTACGCGAAAACCGGGAAGAAAAGCATTCCCAGCGAGACCTCTCGGTCCTAGGCCGAGGTTAGGTCCTTGTTGATGCTGAGCGGAAACGAAGGGAGGCGAGGAAGCGAAGGGAAGGCTCGGTCCGGAGATAAGAGGCGAAGATGGTCAGACTCGAAATGAGCCGAATGAACAGTGGCCTTCGGGTTCGGTTCTTCTTGGGCTTGGGTTCGGTTCCTCCTGGGCTCGGGTTCGGTTCCTCCTGGGCTCGAGTTCAGTTCCTCCTGGGCTCAGGTTCGATTCTGAGAGGACCTTCTGGTCCTAAGAGGCTTCGGCTCTTATAAGGAAGTTTCGGTTCCTAAGGTCCATTTTTCTCGTTTTTACCCCGTTTTAAGCCGTTTTTGACCCGGTTAAGGGTCGGGATGGCCCGAAAGACTATAAAAAGTCCAAGGAACTTTTGAGAGAGATTTCACATGCTTGGAGAGATTTGGGAGAGATTTGACATTCTTGGAGAGATTCCTCATACAAAGAGATATTTGAGAGAGATTTCACGTACTTGGAGAGATTTGGGAGAGATTTGACATTCTTGGAGAGATTCCTCATACAAAGAGATATTTGAGAGAGATTTCACATATTTGGAGAGATTTGGGAGAGATTTGACATAGAGAGAGATATAGTGAAAACGATTGAGAAAGGTTCCTTATGTGACAATTATGAGTGTTTGGCTCCGCAACGCAAGGTTCTTGAGCCCCGTTAAGTCATGATTAAGGATCCTACACACTCCCGATGAGTATGTAAGATGGTTTTATCAGTTTAATTCATTGATTAGCACTAAGGCTCAGGAAATTTTAACACAAGAGCTTTTCCCAAGTGATGTTTTCCCATTAATATAACAAGTTATACAGTATGTACATAACACAAACCCTAATACACAAGGTTTAATCGAGTTGACCGGTTTGACTTGATGACTTGACTTGACTCTAGACTGAAGATTGTCACATCATCCCCCCGTTAGAGGGAATTTCATTCCGAAATTTAAACTCGGCTGGGACTTCAAGGGTTTGGGAAAAGATGCGGATACTTTTGCTTCATTTGTGTTGGATAAGGTGTCTAAGTCCATAACTATTTCTGGTATGTACTTGACCCGACCCGGCATGGTCCATTTGGGTTGCATGGCATCATGCAATTGGATAGACTAAATGAGAGAAATAACACTTGGAGATTATAAATATATTATAAGTTCTAATATATTAATAATATTATTTGATTAGTTTGATCAAGAATTAATTTAGAATTAATTAAGTGATCAAAAGATAACTAATTAAATATATGGGTTGATTATGTAAATCATCCATATCTTGTATAGTGGGCTAAAAGGCTCCATGGACTATCAAGTTGGGTTCCACCCATAGGATGCTCCATGGATGCTCCATGGGAGTTACAAACCCATGGGTCATGGAAATGAAGAGTCATGACACATTAGGGTTTAACCCTAGATGTGTCAACACTATATAAGTAACATGTTCTCCACCCAAAATCGGCTACACTAAGAAACAAGAGGGCTTGGCCGATTTTGAAGAAGTGTGTGTTCTCTCATAAGTTCTTCCAAGAGCATTTGGTGTTGTGTGAAGCATTTGAGGCATCACACTTGGGGTGCTAGGCTCACAAGGTTTCAAGGAACACAAACAACAACAAGGTAAGTTATTCTATCTATACTTTATGTTAAAATTGTTCCCCATGTATGCTAGATAGGAATATAACCTTGGAATTCAACTTTGCATGACAATTAGACAAACATAGATCCAAGGTTATTAGGGTTGCATGTACACTTAGGAAGTGTTAGAATGCTCAAAACCCATCAGTGGTATCAGAGCCTAGGCTTGTTTGTTCTTATTTGTGCTTAAAAGTTGAAAACAGAATCGGAAATCTTGCTGTCTGCGAATGGACTCGTCGAGTCTATAGGGGGGACTCGTCGAGTCCATGAGTATCTTCAACCAACTCGGCGAGTCAGTTCATGCACTCGGCGAGTAGGGTCGACTGAGTGCAGAATTTCGATTCAGTTGCTGGAAATGAATTAGAAACATTACCCTAAACTGTTTTGGTAATTGAAAACTTGTTTTTGGTGGTGTAATGTCTTTGCTAATTCATTTACAACAACTAGTTATCAAAATTACAAAGTTTTAAATGTAATTTTTGATTGTGTTCATATTCATGTTCTTGTTCTTATGATGTTTTAGATGATCATAGGAATTATTTGTAACCTATGTGGTAGATTAATTCTTGATCATAATGTGTTTTAATGGAGTCCATAACTTATCCTTAAGTTATGGAAAACCAAGAGTCACACTTGAGTTAAAACCATTAAAAAACACAAGAGTTAGAAAAATGAAGAGTCTTCATTTTATTACTCTATTAAACTCATAAGTTACAAGAAATGAAAAGTTTTGAAAGTTACAAA